GTGGTTTAATTAATTGTGATATAAATGAATTTCAAAAATGTGAAATATGTGTTGAATCTAAAATGATCAAAAAGCCTTTTCAAATTGTGGAAAGATCATCGAATTTGCTTGATTTAATACATAGTGATCTTTGTGAACTTAACGGTGTAAAAACTAGAGGCGGAAATAGGTATTTTGTTACATTCATTGATGATTGTTCAAGATTTACCTATGTGTTTTTATTGAAAAACAAAAGTGAAACTTTTAATGCCTTTAAAGTTTACAAATCCGAAGTTGAAAATCAACTGGGTAAAAAGATTAAAAATTTTGAGAAGTGATAGAGGTGGTGAATATTTCTCAAATGAATTTAATTTATTTTGTGAAGAAAATGGCATTATTCATGAATGTACAGCACCATATACACCACAGCATAACGGTGTAGCAGAGAGAAAGAATTGAACATTTCTAGAAATGGTGAATGCTATGTTATTGCATGCTAAATTAAATTTTGAGTTGTGGGGTGAAGCGTTGTTGACTGCGTGTCATATTTTGAATCGAATCCCTATGAAGAAAGTTGAAAAATCTCCATATGAGCTATGGAAAGGAAGAAAACCTAATATAGGTTACTTCAAAGTGTGGGGGTGTCTTGCATATTGCAAGAAAACTGACCTAAACAAAAGAAAATTGGGTTCGAGGGCCATAAAGTGTGCATTTGTTGGTTATGCCACAAATAGCAAAGCTTATAGGCTATTAGATTTGGAATCTAATGTGATAATTGAATCAAAAGATGTAGAATTCTTTGAAAATTTATTGAGTAGTTCTCAAGAATCTACTAATCTTGAAGAGTCTCAAGAGAATGGACCAATGACAGTTGTTGAGAACCCTTTGGTGCCGGTGAGAAAAAGTCAAAGACAAAGAAAAGAAAAATTGTTGGGATCGGATGAGATTGATTCTCAAAGAATTTGCTTTTATTTAGTAGAGGGAAATAGAGAAGATATTATTAAGAAAATTCCTATAATACTTCAAGTGGAGGAGGATCGCAAAACATACAAAGAAGCCATTGATTCGAGAGATGCCACTTTTTGGAAAGAGGCAATCAATGATGAAATGGATTCTATTGTATCTAATCAAATATGGGAATTGGTAGATCTTCCAGCAGGATCTAAACCAATTGGTTGCAAGTGGATGTTTCGTAAGAAATACAATACCGATGGGAGTATTCAAACCTTTAAAGCTAGATTAGTAGCTAAAGGATTTAAACAAAAAGAAGGTATTGAATATTTCGATACATATGCTCCAGTGGCAAGAACAACTTCAATTAGGATATTGTTTGCTTTGACATCAATTCATAATCTATTTCTTCATCAGATGGATGTCCAAACGACATTCTTGAATGGAGATCTCAATGAGGAGGTCTATATGGAACAACCAGAAGGTTTTGTTCTACCGGGAAATGAACATAAAGTGTGTAGGCTTGTTAAATCATTATATGGTGTAAAGCAAGCTCCTAAACAATGGCATGAAAAATTTGATAATGCTATTATTTCATATGGATTTAGACATAATAACGCTGACAAGTATTTATACTCTAAATCTTGTGATGACTATATAGTCAGTTTATATGTGGATGACATGTTAAACTTAAGTGATGACATGAGAGGAATAATGGAAAGAAGAGGTTTCTATCATTAACCTTCAAGATGAAAGATCTTGGCGAAGTTGATACCATTTTGGGTATTCAAGTGAAAAAACATAGTGGGGGTTATTGTTTAAACCAAACCTACTATATTGAGAAAATAATTAGCAAATTTAATCATCTCAAGATTAAAAATGCTAATACTCCATTTGATTCAAGTTTAAATCTTGAGAAGAATGACGGTAGAGCGGTGGCTCAACTTGAGTATGCAAGTGCAATTGGAAGTCTAATGTATGCTGCACAGTGTACTAGGGCTGACATCTCATTTGCAGTTAGTAAACTAAGTAGGTTTACTTGCAATCCAAGCATGGAACATTGGAAAGCTATTAGTAGAGTTTTTGGCTATTTAAAGAATACCAAAGAACTAAGCCTCCAATATTCTAAGGTTTCCGCTATATTTGAAGGATATTTAGATGCGAGCTGGATATCGAGCGTGGGAGATAATATATCAACCACAGGTTGGGTGTTTACTTTGGGAGGAGGAGATGTTTCTTGGGGATCAAAGAAACAGACTTGTATATCACATTCAACTATGGAAGCAGAGTTTATAGCTCTTGCTGCAACAGGAAAAGAAGCAGAGTGGCTTCGGGATCTCATGTTGGATATCCCTTTTACTAAAAATAATATATCAACAGTGTCAATACACTGTGATAGTCAAGCAACTTTATCCCGTGCATATAGTGGAGTATATACCGGGAAGTCTAGACATATTAGTCTAAGACATGAGTTTGTAAGACAATTGATTCAAGATGGAATCATATCAATTTTATTTGTAAGATCAAGTGAGAATCTTGCAGATCCTTTTACTAAACCTCTGACAAGAGATTTAGTAAGAACAACATCTCGAGGGATGGAACTAAAACTCCTTAAACAAATTCACCAATGATGGCAACCCAACTTAACACTAAGAAATGATTAGTTTTAAGTTCAATTGGTAAAAACAAGTCGTTGATAAGTGAATTATAACAACATTAAAATTTGGGAGTTCCATCTGAGATATAAAATGTTGGTCGTTACGGTTGGAGGGTTAAGCATAAAGCTTTTAATGAAATTCAGTCTACGTGTGACAAGCATTTTAAGTAACGAGAATGCTGTAAGAATTTCACCTATGTGAACTTAGAAGTGGTGCCGCTTCTCATGAGGGTTGGAGTTTTCTCTCAAGAAAGTTCATGAATGGATTGAGCACATGGCCATAAAAGTGCTAAGCGAGAAAAAGTGATAGGTGCTCGCCTAATGGTGAAATGTGTGTGTTGTCACCGGTTTCGTCACAAGGAATAACTGGTTCAATGCTACAAGCAACCTGGGATTTCGACGAGGCTTTGTGATGATTACACTAATGTAAAGTTCAAATCGAAAGATACTTTATTTTATGCATTTTTGCTATGGTGGTTATAATGTTGGCTTTTATTTTAACCAAGTGGGGGATTATTATATTTTTGGTTAGTATAAAAGTAATGTAAGATGTTATATTCATGAGTGTAAGATGTTACACATTGCATGAATGTAGGATAAGTTTCAAGACAATGCATGTGGATGAGTTTCACATTAACAAGCTTGAAACTTATTAATTTAATTAATTGTGAAATAATTAAACAAGTTGCAACTCCATGAGATTGATGTTTCTCATTAAATAAGATGAGTTGTAAAATTAAGTTCTTACATTTTTTTGTAACCATAAGGCAATGGGTCCTATATATACTTCTCTTCTTTTTGTGAAATCTTATGAAGAAAGTAGAAGGCTTGATCAATCTCAAAACTCCTTTCCATTTTGTGTTCCCTAAAGATTTCAAAGAGAGGGAGGAAATAGAGTTTTTGGACAAAGTTCCAAAGAACTTGTTTGAGCCTTGTATTACATATTATTGTTTTTGAGAGAAATATTAAATAAAATAAAAAGTGGGTTTTGTTGAGTGTCTCTTTCTCCATTGTTATCTATTATTTCCAACATGCACAACATTGTCGAGCGACAGACTGACTGTGTGCGCATCACGCATGCACAGTAGCGTCCCAGCGACTTTTTTCACGCGACGAAGGATGACGCTCGTCTCAGCGAAGCCTAGCGACCCACATCCAACACCATCACACGCAGGCGACCCGCATCCAGCTCCAGCACACGCAGGCGACCCGCCACGCCCACCATCGACCCTAGGAACCAAGCATACCCGCGTGCGAGACCCGACAACGCACAACCACCAGCGAGGCCAGATGAGTCGTCCACGCACTAGGCAAGCTGTAGGCAGGCCAAATGACCTTCAGCAACCCCAATGCGGTCCGATAGCAGTCGAATATCCCCAAGGCGATGCGAGGCGCGACTTGGACACGAGGAGGCGCGACGAGTTGATCGTGATGGGACGAGCAATGGCGAGATGGACCCGACCAAGGCAAAATGATCGAAATTGATAGATGACGCATCTCAGAACCATTCGTCCAGACCTATAGGCCATGTATGTCTGTGCAAGTCTGCAAATTTTTAAAAGGTACGCGTTCTACCCAAATTTTTAGATCTGTTGCGCTTAGGATTAAATCGTAGCGTGACTTGCATAATTTCAATGTTTTCAATAAGTCCCAACAATCAAAACATTTGTCCACGTGGGCACTCTAGCCGGAAACACTGTTAAAAAATATCGCCAGCAAGCAAGTTTGAGTTGTGGATGCAAAATTTAGATAAGTTTGTGCCCTTTTGCTATTATTCAATAACTAGTACAACGCCCGTGTATACACGGGTGCTTGATGAAAATTATTCTTAAATTTTAAAATAAATGAGAAAAATTATTTTAAATTTTATTTACATTTTTACAAAAAAATATATATATTATTATATATTTTAGAATGACAATTGTTGTTTGTGCGACTTAAATTTGTTGTATTATAGTCATTTTTAAAGGTTATATATATAACTACTTGAAATAGAAATATATTAATTGACAAATAATTTTATTTTTCTAATTAATATTAAAAAATATTTTTATTATTGTTACAAAGATAAATATAATTTTTTTTATACTTGAATCGAATCTCATCAAGAGATGATTAATTTGTTATATTATATATGTAAAAGTGATAAAAAAAAATAAAAGTTATTAACTTTTAAAATACATTTACAATTCAATGGTTATAATAAGAAGTATTTAATACATGTAAGATAATCATAAATAATCAACATATTTATAAATAATTCGGACCTAATTATTTTTGAATTGAAAATAAATTAAAATCTACTAAGCCCAAACATGTAATTTTATCGTATAGGATCCCGAAGAAGCAAGCATGATAGTCTAAGATTGACAAAACACACTGATTTAATCGATAGTTTTGCCGATTTTAAAAGATGAGCTCTTATCTAGACAAACTGGAAATTTGTACCTATTCGGTCATAGTGCCGAGCTCTGGCAGCGCCCACCTACCACAATCGTACTATCCAACTCCAAGTGCTCTTCAATTTCCACCCGCAGCTAAAAAAATGAGCGGGCATTACCCGGCTTCCCTACACCCGACCCGAACCCGCATAGGCTGGATAGGCATCGGCGTTATGGGCGGCGCTATGGCCTCCCGCCTCATCTCCGCCGGCTACTCCCTCTCCATCTACGCCCGCAGCCCCTCCAAGGCCGCCTCCCTCCTCTCACTTGGCGCCAGTCTCGCCGCCTCCCCCGCCGACCTCGCCGCCTCCAGCGACGTTGTGTTCACCATGATCGGCCACCCCTCCGACGTCCAAACCCTCGTCCTCGACACGCTCCTCCCGTCGCTAGACCCCGGCACCGTAATCGTCGACCACACCAGCAGCCACCCCGCCCTGGCGAGGCGAATTTACCGATCCGCCCTCGAGAGACGCTGCTATTCCGTCGATGCCCCCGTCTCCGGAGGCGACGTCGGCGCCAGAGACGGCAGACTTGCGATTTTTGCCGGCGGGGACTCGGAGGTCGTTCAGTGGCTGAAACCGCTGTTTGACATTTTGGGGAAAGTGAACTATATGGGCGGAGCTGGGAAGGGACATAGCTGTAAAATCGCGAATCAGATTGCTGTCGGGGGGAATTTGCTGGGATTGAGCGAGGGTTTGGTGTTTGCCGGGAAATCTGGACTGGATAAGGAGAAGTATCTGGAGGCTGTGCGTGGTGGGGCCGCCGGGTCCATGGCTATGGAATTGTTCGGGAAGAGGATGATCGGCAGAGATTTTAGGCCAGGAGGTTTTGCGGAGTATATGGTGAAGGATTTGGGGATGGCGGCTGATGTTGCAGAGGAGGAGGGGCACACGGGGACAGTGGTGCTGCCGGGAGCTGCACTGGTAAAGCAGTTGTTTTCGGGGATGGTGGCGAATGGGGACGGGAAATTGGGCACACAAGGTTTGGTGACGGTGGTCGAGAGGATCAATTGCTTGGGGGGCTGAACATGGTGAGATTTTCGTGTAATGTTTTGCGTAATTTTTATTTATTTGTTACAATCTGGTTCAGTATGTGGATTTGTTTGCCAGGTTTCTTGTCTGTTTGCTGATAGGTGGACAAAGTAACTGGTTTTATAGTTCTTATGAGTAATGTGTGTTTTGTGATTGTTTTCGTTTTCATCCATCTTTGCAAATGGGGAGATTTGCTTTGATGTGGATTGATCTCTTTCGGGAAAGGAGTCGGATTGCAAGATGGAGTTTTTTTCTCCATTAGTGAACCACTTGTAGCTTTTCTGTTGGTAGAGAAGTTTCTGTTACTTGCATTCTAATTTGAAAATATGATGTTATTGGATGAAAAGTTTCGAGTTCTTCAACAGCATGCTTCTAAGAATTGTATTTCAAATTTTCAATCATACTTCTGTGTGTTTTATTAAGTGATTTATTGTGAGGAGTACTTCATCTTGCCAAAATTATTCATAGACCCCTTAGAAACTGATTAGGAAGGAATTTGGAAATTTGAACCAAACAGAGATATGGAGGTTTCTGTTTCATTTTTTCTTTTTCATTTCCAGATGCTTGTTCTTTCGTAGATTCCATAAACAGTTCGTTTTTATGCTGTCATGTTTTATGCCTTTTGTGTTCATTATGCCAAATATAAGCATGTTGGAAAACTATGTTAGATGTGCATTACTTATTCAGCTGCCATTTTCATGCAGTGTTGAAATAAATTTGTGGTGTCTCTCACTTAAATTAGGCACAGTCTGCTTCTGTTTGATAGCATAGTGAATCTATCAAAACGCGATTTTCGTTGATCTGCATGTCTTGTTAACACTGTCACCAACTTCTACTCGTCCGCCTGAAAGCCTGATGGATAATTGCTCAAGAGCTGTTCTGCATCTTTACTTGATGTTATTTTTCTAAAGAGCATGTTTGGATTATAGAAATTTTTCTAAAGAGCCTGATGGATATTGCTTGTTTGTTTATAGAAATTTTTGGTTTTGTTTGGATTTTTTGGTTTGGTTTGGTTAATTTTGAAAAAGATGGTATGGTTAGTTGTTAGTGGATGTATTAAAATATTATTTAAAATAAAATAATTAAAATGATTTGATATAAAAGTAGGAGAGATGGTTTGATGTGATGGTTAGTTAAAATAATGTGAGTGGATGAATTGAATTAAAGTTGATGTGGTGTGTATTAATGATCGATTGATATTATTTAATTATATTGATAATAATAATTGATGATAGTGAGGTTGAATAAAAAAAGTGGTTGCGTTAAGATGTGAGAAATTTTTGAAAAATTTCCATAAACAAACATACTAAGTTTATGATCAGAGTCTCGTCGCATACATATTGATGTACTTTGGCTTGATTCATGCATAGCCTATGACGTAATGTGCTGTTATTTTATGTATGGATAAATAATTTCAAGAACTATGATAGGGTGTGAATGTGTAATATATGTATAACTAATTACCATTATACATCTAATTCCCCATCGACAAACAATTGGAAAAGTCTATTAAATGAAATAAGCCGCTTGTGAGCTCAGTCCGACTTTGCTCGTTAAAACTCGAGTTCGACTTGTTAATTTGATGAATAAGTCGAACTTGAGCTCGATGTGTAGCTTGTTTAGTTAATGAACCGAGCTCAAATCGTTAAGAGGATGCTTGGATATAAAATATTTTGGATTTGTCTGGATTTTTTTTGTTTGTTTTGGTCAGTTTTGAAAAAGTTGGTATGATTAGTTGTTAGTGGATATATTAAAATAATATTTAAAATAAAATAATTAAAGTTGATTTGATAAGTATGAGAGATAAGATTCGAAGTGATGGTTAGTTAAAATTATGTGAGTGGATGAATAGTGAATTACGGTGATGTGGTGTGTAAAAATGATTGATTGATATTATTTGATGATATTGATGATAGTGGGGTTGAGTTAGAATTGAGTTAAAAAAAAGTGATTAAGTTAAAAATGTTTGGATTTTTTTTGAGATATTTTGTATCCAAGTATGCTCTATGGTTCGATAAATATAGGTATTTTACATAATTTTCTAAACTTTTAGTTTAGGTCGGCTTGTTAAAGCTTAAGATATGCTAAATTTGGTAAACGATCCAAAATCGAAGTCTATGCTCGGTTTGTCTCAATAATGGCTTGAGTAGAGCTTGAGTACAAGAAATTCGAGCTCCACTCAGCTTATTTATAACCCTCACATTAAATGTGATTATTGACATTTTAAGAGTGCAAATGAGTACTGATGTGCTCGCGCCTCAAACGGGCCTTCCAACGATCATCGACCACCTTGCTCCCCGGAGACCTCCAAAGACGCCGGGAGATGTTCCCGACGTTAAACCTCTGACGATCAAGTCATTAAAGGGTTATGGAAAGTTGTATGGAATTGTACAGAGTATAACGTGTGACTAACCTTACTTTTTTCCTAGTTTTACCTATTTATAGAGAGTTATTGGTTTCTTCAGTACGATTTGTTCTTCCTCCATTGAATCACTTATTCCTTTTTTTATCCTGACTATATTTGTGTCCCTTGTGGACCACCTCTCATAACCATCCCCATAGGTCGACTCTTAGTTTTATATGGTGCCTCTATAGGTCAGCACCCCACTATAAAATGCCTTTAATGTCCTATACTGAGCTCAGAACTACAAGAGCTCTTATCTATCGAACCACACACTGTCCTAGCTATGTCCTAGCTACATCCTTGCCAAGCTATTGATAATACAATACCCCTAAAGGCCAAGCAGCTCCTATGTCGAGCTATTGATACTACAATACTCCTAAAGATCGAGGAGTTCTTATGCCGAGCTATTGATACTATAATACTCCTAAAGGTCGAGCAACTCCTGTGTCGAACTGGCAGTACCAATGTTCTATCCGAGCCGCCGATATGCCTAGCTACAGATAATGGCGGTTTGGTCCTAAACTTACCACTTCAAATACACTCGGTTCACTTGTCGAGCTAACCTTGACCTGTTCACCGAGCTATTCTTATGTGCTATATCAGGTACTGTCAATTATTCGTATGCTACTTGAGCTCGTAAAGCATCATATGCATTTATCTTGTGCTTCTTTTGTATAATAGTTGACCTCAAGCTTAAAATAATAATAATAATAATAATAATAATAATAATAATAATAATAATAATAATAATAATAATAATAATAATAATAATAAAACTTGTTTATGTGAGCTTATGCCAACTTGTAGAGAGCATTGGCTTATGAGAGAAATAAACCCATTTAATTTTTCATATTCTCTCTCTTTTTTTTTCCAAAATGATGACTTTAATAACACAAATACATGATTACATCCAACTAACTAGCCTTAAAATAATAATAATAATAATAATAATAATAATAGTAATAATAATAATAATAATAATAATAATAATAATAATAATAATAATAATAATAATAATAATAATAATAATAATAAGATTGTTGGAAAAATATTTTTTAATAAGTTTGACTAAAAAAATAAGTTAGTTAACATTCTATTTTAAGAAGTTTTTTAAAATACATGTGCATCTTGTAATTTGAAACAATTGAGATCTATTAATATAAAAAAGGATAGAGATTTACTTGAAATAAAACTAAAATCACGCCTATAACTTTTAAAGTTACTAAACTTGGCATTTTTTTAAAAATATTTTGAAAAACTGCCTAAATGTGTTTTTGAAAAATACTGAAAAGAAAAATTAAATTCAAACATTTAAAGGAAAGATTTCAATCATATTTTTTGGATACATTCTATTTTATCTAAATTTCCATAAAATCACATTTCGAACAAACTAATTAATATAATATTTTTTATCCACATATATAATTGATATAATATTTTATCTAATTAATCATTTATCTAATTGGATTTAACTCATTAACAAATTTGCCGAATCTTTTGTAAATAAAATGGTACGATTATTCTTACGAATATACTTTCCAAATATTAAACATTTTAGAAACTTTTTATAAAAATGAATTATCACGCCTTTTACTTTATTTAAAATTAAAAATTGTATTTTTAAATTTATTAATAAGCGTTTATTATTTATTTTTTTACTTATGTGATATAATTTAAATTCGGTTATTATATTTTTTAAATTAAAAAATTTAACAAAAAATCACAAGCAAATTTTTTGAATACATTATATTTTATCTTAGATTCCATATAATTACAATCCTAACAAACTAATTAAATAAGATTTTTGTGCACATATTTATCTAATCAGATTTTTTTAAATATAACTAATATAACATTTTAACTAATTAATCATCTATCTAACCGAATATATCTTATTAACAAACTTGCCAATCTTTTTCAAATTAAAATGGTAAGATTATTCTTACGGATATACTTACCAAAATATTAAACACTTTAGAAACTTTTTCAAAAAAAAAAAAAAAAATTGAATTATCCCACTTTTTACTTATTTGAAATTCATCATTATATTACTAAATATATCAATAAATATTTATTATTTATTTTTTCCTAATTTGATATAATCTAAGTTCGATTATTTATTTTTAAGTTCAAACATTTAAAGGAAAAATTCAAAATCAACATTTTTGTGTACATTTTGTTTTATCTTAACTTTCATATAATCGTATTCCTAACAAACTATTAATATTATTCACATTTATCTAACCAGATTTTTTAAAATATAATTAATATAATATTTTAACTAATTAATCAACTATCTAACAATTATCATTCATTTTTTTTTTTGTCACGTGATGTTATTTATTTATTTATTCCGAGTATTCAGGGGTGGTGGCGTTTCATGTGGTGGAGCTGGAGGAATTAGGAAGTCAATTTTTTAATTCTTTGTTATGAATCAGTGGTATAT